AAAAAAAAAATAGTTACTGTTTGTCTGGGTTTTCTGATGAGTTACTATCTTAAATAATTTACTCCAAAAATAAAATGACTTGTCTTGGGGTTGCTATGCAAAAGGAAAAAAGATGCTATTTAAAAAGTCATGAATTACCAGCTGCATAAAACAGAATATCTGTTTAACAGTAATTTAGGAGTTTATTTTTCTGACCATAAGAAGGCTGAGGGAAGATGGCCCCTGGTATCACTTCTGTAGTTCAACAATGTCAGGGTTAGCATCTATGATTTTCTTGCTTTTCCCTCATGCTGCTTAGAGTAGCATTCTCATGATTGGTTTGAAGCAGGAAAAATCTATCAACACCCTATTTATAATAAAGGTATTTTTTAAAGTAAGAAGGAAGGAGAGAATGACTATTGGATAGGCAATTAACAGAGTTATCTACAATGGTCTCTAGATTTAAGAAATACAATAGAAGAAGGAATAGAACAAGGCCATGCTACGTAAAATTCTTGAAATAGATAAAAAATTCTTTCAGAAGTTAGCAGAAATGAGTTATTGATTTTAATGAAAGTTTAAAAATTCCACTTTTGTAAACCTAGAAAATAATATGTTCAGGTATTAATTAAATTGATAAATTCGCTCAGTAAATATTTGAGCCTATGACATGTATAGCACTGTACAAGGTCCTATGAGAAATATAAAACAGTATACACATTCCCTTCCTTCAAGAAACTTCTAAACAATAACTCTTTGCATTTTACTTTCTACTTTATGAAACTTTCACAGGCATCATTTCTTTGTAAATCATAACTGTGCAAAGGAAATTTTTATCTGATGAATAAATAGTGGGCCCTGTAGATCCTTGCCCATACCTCTCTGGTTTTTACCACGGCAGTGTTCTCAGGCAGATTTCCAGCTGCCAGTATCTGCATCTCTATGCCTAAGGGCTTTCTCTCAAGCATGGAAGGAAGTCCTATCCCTGTGTAGTCAATTATCATGATAAACTTCCACCTCAGTAACCCTTACACAATGGTATAGATACCCCAGCTCTTTTGCCCTTTAAATGGGATAATTTTGAGGCATGTATTTCATACCATTTCCCTGAGTTTTCCTGTAGAATTACGCTCCAATCATTACTAGTGGCAGCTGGCTTGATAAGGCACCCTTTATTTACTGCCGTCCCTTCTTTGTCTCATTTCCCCACTTCCTACAATTATTTCCTGAATCCTCCTGATTAACTACCTGCTCTCAAATCCTTGTCTCAGGATTATAGTGGGCATTTCCACCAGGTTATTTCCCGAATACCTGCCCCTCAGCTACAGCGTTGGTTCAGTGGGCAGGCACATGATTCAAGGCAAGCCTGCTGGAATCTTTCCCGGGCAATTTTGTTCTATCTGAAACAGGGAGAAAAGAGCCCTAGTCCCTCATTTAAAAAAAAAAATTTCCCCATCATTGTATTTCCAGTAGAACAGTGCTTGCCACAAAATAGGAACTTGCTAAATATTTGTAGAATATTCAATAAATGCAATTCCTATAATTTTTTATGCCATCCTGCATTTATGACCACACATTAATTTTTAAATGTATGAAATACTCGTTATAGTCTATCAGTGTCATAGCATTGTCTGTAGTAGTAAAGAGCACAGACTCAGGAGCCAGAATGCTTGAGATTTAAACTCTGTCACTTGCCAGTTGTTAGACTTGTTTCAGCTCCTCCTTCTCTTTCGACTCTGTACGAGTATTGCAAGTACTGAAATCTTAAAAAAACATTTCCCAAGGGCCGGCTGAGTGGCTCGGTTAAGAGCTCGCTCAAGAGTGTGAGCTCTGAGCAACAGCGGTTCAACTCCCAGCCTGAGCTGAGTTGCCGCTGAGCTGCCAACAGGTGGCAGGATGGCTCAGCTAAAAAAAAACAATAACAAAAAAAACCCATTTCCCAGGATGACTTGTCAGTTGGTTTCCACTCAGGTTCTGCTGATGGGAGATTGGAAGGCATTTTTTCTTCTTCCGGCTCCAGCAGCCTCAGCAGCACCGTGCTTCTCTACTCTGGCTCTAGGAGTTGGGGGGCTCCAGCTGCAGTCTGCTAGCTTCTTACAAAGCAGGAATATGAAAGCAGAGATAGTTCTAGTTCTAATCATGCAACAGTTTTGTTCCAAAAGCCTCAGAAACACAGCATTTGTGGGTTTTTGGATAACACCTTTTCTTTTGTACCCCCAGTGCTAGCTAGGATTGTAGCTGCTTCTCTGGTTGCCTGGGATCACTACCTTCCCCACCCCCTTTTGCTCCTCCAGCCCTTCTGTAAGGATTTCCTCAATAACAGAGGTAATAACATTCCCTCTGAAATACCCAAAGTGGTTTTTCTTTTCCTGACTGAATACTGACTGATACTGTGACCATGGACAAGTAACTTACTCTCTTTGCCTCAGTGTCTTCCTCTATAAAATGAAAATAGTATATCTCATGGGCATTATTAGGATTAATGAGATTAATAATATTTTTAGAGTACTTAGAACAGTGCCTGGCACAAAGCAGTTTGTTAAATCAATGGTACAGTGTTTCATACTCTGTTGTTAAATACATCTCTTCTGTCATAAAACGGCACATATGTTTTTCACAATGTCTTCCTCTCACTTGCTTTAACATAATAGACATTTTGGAGGTCTGTAGGGCTAAATGTTTTTATGAAATTAACTATATTTTAGCATGCTACAGTGGTGAGAGGGGTATGCAGGGAGGGAAGCAGCACTGAAGTGGAAGACAAACAGGTTACATTAAAACCTGAAGATGAATCCAGAATCTTCAAAGTGGGGTGTCAGAGACCTTATATTGGAGAAAGGCTTGAGAAATGCAGATTCTTTTGGTTAAATCGTGTCCACATTAAGACTATCTTGTATTTGTATGTAGTTATTTCATTGACTTCTGTTTTGGGATATTGAAAATAGACTTGTTTTCATCTCTTACTCAGCAATGGGAGCAGACTCAGATTCTAGGGTTACATTTACTTCATTCCCAAGATCCTGGAGACAACCTCCCAAACAAACAAACAAACAAACAAACAAACAAACAAACTGGAATGAGGTAGGCCTACAGGTTGCTGAATAGAAAGAATTCTGCTGTCTTTACAAGGGTTGAATCATTGTCCACATAATTGGTTACAGAATTTCTGCTGGGAAGTTTTCAACAAAGTAAGATCACTACTCAATTTCTGCTGTCCTTTTATCTTTCAGCTTGTCCTACAAGGTGCAAATATTTCTTTCTTTGTTAATTAGTCCAACCTTCAACTGTGCTTAAGTGCATTTTTTAACCTAATAGGATTCTAGACTTTAAATTTAAATGGATATATTTTTAAAGTACATCTGAAAATCTC